CCTTTCAGCTATGGATAAAAATCTCCGGGTCTCTTTTTTTAAGATCACATGATCACCCTTGTCCAAAGTGAAAAGGAAAGAGGCTGCGCCAAATACTCTCCACCATTCTCCTTTAATTCTCACATGTTGTACAAACGGTGTAGACAAGGTAATATCATTGTTTTCCTACACATCCCTGAGACAGGCAATATGTGGAGACAAGGGGAAAAAGTCTGAAAAGACACATACAGTCAGCTACATACACAATCACACGTGTGTGCCAAGACAGACGGGGATATATATCACATTTGTACATGAATGAATCACCTTTATTACAACTGACCCCGAGAGACAGAGTTGGAGCAGAGGTCTGTTTTTTTCCCTCGGTATAGTATCCAGGCATTTTCCAATGTTATTTTAATGCTGCTGCTGGAGGTTTGGCTCGAGGTGGGCAAGAGAAATGAAAGCACAGCCCAGACAGAGACACCGACACAAGGAGTTCTAAAAGATAGAAAGATGGAGGGATAAAAAGGGAGAGCAAAACCTTATTGTTGATTAATGGTTGAATCTTAGACACAACACGTCTCCAACATGTCTAAGATAGAGACAGTGAATGAGTAAAAAGAATCACAGTAGTTGAAATGATAATCCAAATTGTTTTGGGATAACACTGTTGAGGCCCTGCGATGGATTAACGACCTGTCCAGGGTGTAACCCCACCTTTCGACCATGTCTGCTGGGATTGGCACCTGCCCCCCCGCGACCCTGTACACAGGATAAGCGGTTGACGATGGACGGATGGATGGATAACACTGTTGAATCATGTTTATTGAACTCCAGGTTTTAAGTTTTGCAGCAGAAATGCAGTTCAAAAGCATCAGAGCCACATCTGTCAACACTAAACATCAATCTGTAGGGTGGAGAACTGACTGTAAACTATAAAAACCTGTACATTTACCATGGTTGGCGACCACACCATTGTTTATACCATGTTTACTGGGTTACCAGGCCACACTTTCTGGTTGACAGTACCAGTAAAGTTTCAAAGCATCTAACATCATGTCATCAAAGTCCAACATCAGCTGCTTTATTAGTTTCACAACTTGTGAGTCAAGATATTTTCACTTTTGCAGGGCCCAGTTCAATTACGCAGCAAGCAACATCTGTACACTATTCGTTACAGAAGATAATGTGTGGAAAGTATCTGATTTCAGCTTTAAGTGCGGAAAGGAAAACCACAACCTTTGACCAAGCACATCTCAGAGAGAACTGAAGAAGTAGTATGGTATAAGATAAAATATACATAATTATATGATGAAGGAAAACTACAGAAGTTTGAGAAATTCTGCTTTTAATGTGTGTTTCGGTTCTGGAGTTAATCGTTGCGATTGCAGCTGGGTAGCTATTACAGCTACTCTGACTAAAGAGGCACAGCATGACAAACAATCAGAGAGAGGAAGAAAGAGAGCATGACCCAAAAAAACAAAAGACTCGCATTTACCTTCTCAATCTTTCACTGCAGTCCCAGATTCTCTGTTTAACACGATTAGGATGACTGCTAATCATTATGTTCTATATCCTAATGGGCTTTGGTGCAAACTAAAGGAATGCAAGACGGATGAAGGAGAATACAGGATGCATTCAAAATTTAAACTATAAGTCAATATCAGAAAATGACCCAATCATACAAAATAAAATCTCAACTCACTACTTGAGGTTTCTCCTACTTGTCACTTTACTCAATACAGGAAGAGAAGAAGCAGGAAATTCAAATCTGTGTTTCAGTATAGTAACACCCCACTTAAAAACCTAAGTAATCTCAGGCGCACAGATGCACGCTCACAGTCACATGCAAACCATCACAAGTATACACACATTTAAAGACACATTCAGACAAACTCAAATGGACAGTCATAGTTATTCATATACACACACGTGGTCTGTTAGTGAGAATATGTAAGCCAGCGGGGACATGTCGTGCTGCATTTTTTGTTTTTTAGACCCTACTGAGCTGACCTCTGTGACACACACACACACACACACACACACACACACACACACACACACACACACACACACACACACACACACACACACACACACAGTATGGGTCAAGTTACCCTCTAATGTTAGGCAATGAATCACACTAGTCACTTCCAACACTTGACTCATAGATTCACAATCGCTCCGAGCCCAAGGGAATAGTACACACACAAACATACACACACACACACACACACGTATGCTGTTCCCTATTCTAATGTGACTCTTGAGTCGTGTATTCAGACAGAGGAAGTGGTCTGGCCAAAAGGCATGCTCGCCCTGGGGAGTCATTATCACTGTCTGTTTCTGTGTTGCATTTTCTGTCTGTCTCTTTCTCTCTCTCCTCTCTCTCCCTCTCTCTCCTCCCTCCCCCTCTCCCCCTCTCCCCCTCTCTCCCTCTCTCCCTCTCTCTCTCTCTCTCTCTCTCTCTCTCTCTCTCTCTCTCTCTCTCTCTCTCTCTCTCTCTCTCTCTCTCTCTCTCTCTCTCTCTCTCTCTCTCTCTCTCAGCCATTAGCGATGGAAGAAAAGAAAACAACCGAAGCATAAAAAACATAGAAACTATGTGCAGGACTCCCAATCCATAAATGCTGATGATGCTTTTAACTAACACGTCAATACTTACCAAATCTACCTCCTTTCAGTATATAAGAATAAACAGGCAGGTTTTGCTGTTACTAAGCAGAGAGGAAATATGTTTTCTAGCAATTGCTTCATTTGAATTTGACAGCGGGGTTCATTTAATTGTCATCAAGCAAGTCACGCATTATCATATTCACAGTCACACTGAGTATTTCTGAGCTGTCAGTCTGTACGCTGCTATCAATTTATTGTATTATTAATGTTTTTTATGTGTTTGACTTGACAGCTTTTGAGACAAATAACAGATGACCAGTTGCAGCGTATCAGGATATTGGTGAAAGCAATTTATTTTGGACTTGCTTTTTTTTTGACACATAAATGACAGTTTGAGAGGCTGTTAATAGATTCAGCATAGCAGGTGTCAGCTCTTTGCACAACAAGTGCACACCAGGGTTTCTAAATGTTTTGGTGGTGGTGTTTTTTATCACTTCTTATGAAGTTTAGGCTCATTCTCTGTTCAAAGTGACAACTTTCTTAGCCAATTCTCAACTCAAATTGGGCACTGAAAAAACCTGGATAATATCAGCCCTTTACAAATTAAGCAAATTATCATCTTCTTCAAGTCGTGTCCTCTTTCCTCTCTTCACTGTTGTCACTGATTTGGCTTCAAAATTTTACTGAAGATAATTTCAGTTTAGTCCCAGATATGGCGCGTCAATCAGCCACCTTGCTGTAGTAGTGGCAAAGACTTAACGGCTTTGAGGCTTATACGGATAAATGATAGAAATACAAACAGATATACACATCACTCAGAAGACTCAAGGATAATTAGCCAGATGATGAGCCGGTATGGGATTAACTGTCAACACTTACTGGTTGGCTGGTCATGTGGTCAGCAGGAACCAATGAGCCCTGAAGGAATTTTCTCATCTAGTGAGCTATTGAATATTAAACACATACACACACATTTGCATACACCATCATTATTCGTATGTCCCAAGCAGAGGAAGAACAAACAGAAGACAAAATAAAATCAGAACAATGAGATACAGAAAGGAAAAGAAAAAGAAACGTCCCCGACAGTCACACCATGAGAGATTGTCTGAACAGCAACAGCCGGAAAAATTAATCTGTTGCTGTTGTAAAGGGATTTGTGCACACAATCGGTTACTCTGTGTGTTTGCTTCTTGCACGTATTGAGTGATTTAGGAATACGAACGGCTTTATTTTGAAGTCTAATTTGGCTGTATTGGCATTCATTGATTTATTAGATTGTCTGGATGCCTGGCTCTTCAGTGATGTGGAAGATAACATGGGGGATCTGCATTTATGTCCTAAATCTCCTGTCAGCCATGTCAGGTGCCATTAAAGAGGTTCATTGGCGATGCAGTTGTGTGCAAATGATGCATCAATATACCATAACCACTGGGCTGTGAAAAGAGATATCTGACATATACATTAAGGGAAGTGTAATCAGACACTTAAAAAGAAAAGCAACAGCATTTGTCGTTTATCGCACAGTAGCATCAATAGAGGTAATGTGACATTGTTAAACCACTTAAAGTAAAGTTTTAGGGAGAAAGTTGTGGTTTGATGGTGGGACATAGAAAGTGTATGTAGCTTAAACACATATTAACCAAGTTCTGTTAGTGATCTAATCATCTGACCTTAAATATTTCAAAACCATGAGGGTGTCAGACATGGAAAAAATCATTAGGGGTTGTTTGAAAGAGACAAAAAACCTGGGAGTTGTTGGTAGTAATAGCTATTATTTGATTCATTCCCTCATGGCTCCCATCAAATTTATTTTACAAAAGTGCATATGCCAAGACATTTTCATTAAAATGGCAAGCAGTTTCTGAGGTCAGGTCTATTGACAGACGCACTGAATTTTGTAAGGATCAAATTTTGTGTTAGTTCTGCTGATTCATTCGCTGCAGAGGCAGAGATGCCTTAATCAAACTGTAAAGGGGTTTGAGGGAGAGTCACGGTACAATGTATGTCTTTAATGACATATGTTTGCTTTACCTTACTTTGATTGTATTTGAAAGAGCTGTAAATTGAGCAATACAGCAACCCGGTGTTGTACATGAGCTGTACCTCCCACACAGAATCAGTCTGTCTAATTGAATTAAAGCTAATGAGTTTACAGACAGCAGTAATTAGTACAATGTCCTAATCAACACAACAACTATTAAGATCTCCAACTGCAGTCAATTAACATTACCCTCTATAACAGACAGGGATGAATGATAGATTTTATATAGATTAATCTGCTTGTAAGGCAGATGTTTTATTAAACTGAATGTAAATTAGTTAAATTGCATATATTCTTATGATGTATTTTCACTATTATGACTGTCATGGACCAAGCGGCTTTCTCCTCTACTCTCTTTTAGGCTTTGTGATTAGAGGAGAGAGAGCGTGAACGACCTGTGAGAGAGAAGAAGAAGAAGAAGGAGGAGAAGAAAGGCAGTGACGCGAAAGACGGTGATGAATATCCGTACCAACAGGCCCCATATCAGCTAATGAACTAGGAAGTTCATCAACAACATTTCATTAGCTAAAACAGGATATCACCTCAGTGGGAGCGGAGCTCCGCTGAGAGGAACCAGAAAGTAAGGGGTGGAGTGAAGTGCACGGCTGCTCAGGTTGGGCAAGATGGCAATGCAGAAGCGACAGGGCCTTGGGCCACTGAGGGCCTTCCTGGTGTTGGTGGGAGTTTCTGCACTCTGTAGCGTTGCATTAGGAACCCGAAAAGGAAACGCTTCTTTGGATCAGAGGGCCCACAAACACAGACATCCAGGTATGACAAAAGCAACACAGTTTCCTTGTCATTTGGCTTTAACACCTGTCATGTACTAGGATTTTTTTCTACGTCTCACTGAATCATACTCAAACAGTAACTGTGATGCATTCTGAAATACAACACACACAGACGGTCATGCACGCCAGTTCCTTTTTGTGATATTTGTGCATTTTTAAAACAGACCTTCTCTCAATTTTTAGCCTTTGTGACCATGAGTCGGCGTGTACCTCAGAGACCAGACAGTCATTTTTGACAACTGCTGTACATAGATCCAAGCAGATTTAAGCTGTGAAACAAATGTTAACCTGAGCGAAGGTCCCTTTCCATTCACATTTCTGAACTGGAAAATCACTACATTCGCAGGTTCTTGTCCACAATGGGATCTCTTACTCTAAAAATCTCCCAAGGTGGTTTGGATAAACAGGTCTTCAATGACTTCATGTTTTCTATCCAATTACCTTTTTTTGTTTTACCTTTACTCACATAGACAATATTTACCTTCCTTTCCATCTATACACCCTTCCTTTAGAGATGCTCACACATGGCAGCTCCTCAGTGCAACCACAGCCTGCTCATTTCAATAACTCAGAAGCAGCACTACAACAAACAGAGGTTAAGTGCCTTTCTAAGAGCCACCTAAAAAAACTGCTTGTTGAAACGTGTGTCGTTCACACCAGCCACCCACATTTTCTCAGCTGGGATATGAACTGGTGACCCATAATTCAAAAGTGGACCTCTCCGTTCACGAGGTTACTGCTTCCCACCCACTTTTGGATTCAGTCTATTGAAAATTTTCTCAGAAAACAAACTGCAGTAGTGGTGATAATTAATTAATTCAACATAGTGACCTAAATGAGCTTTCTTTTTTTATTTTGCTTCTAACCATTTAATAATTTGAATGAAAGCCCACAATACATGTGTTTAATAAGTGGTTAATAGAAAAATTTAGTATCTGTATGTTTGTTTTTGTGATTGTAGGTCACATTTCGCTGCATAAACACAGACAGAGGGGAGGAAAGGAAGGGCAGGTACTCCACAGGTCCAAACGAGGATGGGTCTGGAATCAGTTCTTCGTCATTGAAGAGTACACGGGACCTGACCCAGTGCTGGTGGGCAGGGTGAGTATAATCAAGCGTGAGTTAATAAAGTGTCCTTACATAAACCTTTCTCCTGAGTCAAAACGAATTAGTACGTAAATAACTATTTAAAATTTGACGGTTTCATTCATAGCCAAACCGCCCTCCACTGACAGTCATGGCAGGGGCATGCGGGGTGATTCACTCCAATTGGATTTAAAAGCACTTTTCACATTTATCAAGGAGGGAGAGAGAGATAGAAAGGAAGAAAGAGAGAGAGAGAGAGGGGTCATGTTCACATTCAAGGGTGAAGATGATTGGTGATACTCCTCCACAACAACAACATCACTCAAACCGAGCAGCGGCTTTCATAACAAACAACAAATGATGTTTACAATGCGTCATATTTCATAGTCTAGGGGTTGTAAAGGAAGAACAAGCATTTAATTGAATGTTGAACATTCTTCACTTTTTTTTTTGATGACAACGGTTTAAATCTTTTTCTTGTTAGTGTTTGCCTGTCTCACACGGCACATCTACTACCTTGTCAATCTCAGCCTTTCACCTTCTTTAATTTGTAGCCTTGAGAAAAATGAAGCCTCACATCACATCTGCCAAGCAGCCAAAAAGTATGTTTTCCAGTTCTGTCAGATGAACAGACATCTGAAATCCAGATGTTGTCAGCCCCCGTCAGGTCCTGCCTTTGCAATTATGTCTTTGTCTAAGTTTTCCTTCCTGTTTGTCTCACTCTCTTATTGTCTCTCGCCCTCATCCCCCCGTCCTAATTCAGCTCCACTCAGACGTAGACTCAGGCATTGGCAACATCAAGTATATCCTGTCCGGCGAAGGTGCGGGAACGATCTTTGTTATTGATGACAAGACAGGCAACATCCATGCTACAAAAACTCTGGACCGTGAGGAGCAGGCCCAGTACACTTTAACAGCCCAGGCCGTGGACAGAGGCACTAATAAGCCTCTGGAGCCTCCATCGGAGTTCATAGTGAAAGTTCAAGACATCAACGATAATCCTCCTGAGTTTCTGCATGGGCCGTACTATGCCAGGGTGCCTGAGATGTCCAACGTTGGTGAGTAAAAAGAAAGGGTAAGGGGACAGGAGGGGAAGCTAAAGTAGCGATCAGATAGAGTGTGATTTTTGCAGTGAGAGGCAACGATAAACAGGCGGCTAAACCAAAAATATAGCGTTGAAATAAAAAACAAAAACAACAACCTACGACAATCAACTGCTCAGCCGCTCGAGAAGACCAATGGACTCCCTGTAGTTAGTGGTTATGTTTGTGATGACAACTGATGGCACATTGTCCCCAACTCACCCTAAAATAAGCCTTGAACCGAACATCATCCATGCGAAGCTCTTAGACCACCTGGTGGTAACATTACTCCCCATGATTTCTCCTCTTTCTGCAGGTCTCATGTACCCACACGGATCTTTGTTTTCCTGTGTCTGGGATACTATTTGAGAACAGCCTCTCACCCTCAATCACAACTAGAACAAGTCCACTGATTGATATATAAAACGATATTCAAAAATCACAGTTTTGGCTAAGGACAGATGATTCTGTGGTTGCAACAATAAAATAAATAGTTTTAGTTATTTGTGACTAAACCTACCCCTGTCTTAAGTAGAGTTATCTGTGTAACTGGCCAGTAGATTTGTTTTCTTTCCAAGTATCAAATATAATATGACAACAGTGATTCAGAAGAGATAATCAAATTCAATCTTTTTAGTACACAAAAGCTCTCCATTGCATTTTGAGTGATGTTTGTTAATGAAGTCACTGATGGAGTTCACCGTCAGTGTTGTTTGTCTGCTAAACAGCCTTTTTCATACATTATTCATTATCACTGATATCTGACCAAAGGAAGTGTGACTGAGAAGTGGAAAACAGACCGTAGCATTAGCTCACAAATTCAGCTCCTAAAAAGCCCCTTTTTCTTTTCTTTCTTTTCTTACATGTGCCTAAAGTAAAATTTTTTTTTTTTTTTTGGGCTCAACCAGAAACAGAAGCAAGGAAATATTTAGCACTAGGTTGGTATGGGCAAGAGCTTCTAACATCTCCTAAGAGTGTCACTACTTGGAGAGCTAGAGCTTCTGATCTTGATAGATTTTCTTTCCTAATATTATGTGGTCTTGGAGAGTCTTCAACCCCTCGAGGCTGACCTGAAATAAACCACACTGGCAGTCGTGCTGCGTGATACTCTGAGAGCCAGAGAAATCCCTACTCTGAATGGACTGGACTTTCAAATAAAGAACTTTTGAAAGGTCTTCTGAATGAGTTCTGTTAAGGCTTTTTTCACCCATCCGCTTCTTAAGCTGAAACCTGAATACAGATGTCGGACAGGGAGGGGCCACCGGCTGCCATCATCCTCAAACACCGAAGTGGAACAGACCGAAAAACTGCAATTTGACTAACTAGGTCCATGTTCCCTCGTGGATGTCAGAATTAGAACAGAAAGAGAAGGCAGTGTCTTTCAAATTAACATTCTTGGTAATTTACCCTGCACACTTAAGGTAGCTGCCACACTGAGACAAAGGTTGAATGAAATTTGATTACAGTTATGTACCCAATGGATTTTGTACGGAGTAGGATAGTGGTGTGTGTAGCCTCAACTAGAAACTGAAAGATCCAAACACCATGGATCTGAAAATAAGATTGGGAAGTAGTTGAGCTGCAAAAACACATTGTGGCCTAGCCATTATCGTCCAGTTGCAAAGACTCAGCACCTAGTTGTTGCGCTTCCAGTCCAACTTGTGCCACCTAAACCAACACATTTGTAACTGTGCAAAGAAGAAAGAAAAAAAAAAGTCAACAAGTAGCAATTTAGACCTTTAAAACTGACTTAAAAAGATTAAGTCATAGTCATGTACGTAGAAAGAAACCTGAAAGATCCATTAATTGACAGTGATCTTGACATGGTGGTAGTATTTTACATGCACTTAAATGCATTAATATGTCATAATCTCTTTTTATGCATTATTTGATGGTGTTTAATGTGTCAATAAAAACACAAAACTGCAGGTGGTGCAAATGTCGGGTGGCTTAAGCTGCTATTGCTTTCGTTGCCTATAGGAGACGACGAAATGCGTACATCTGTGGGTCTAAACTGCTGATGATTGCACTCTTCTTTTAAATAAATAATACAAGTTGGCATTTGTAGAATTGGCCCACCAAGAACCATCGGCGTCGCCTGGTCATATTCCAGGGCTTTAGCCCGGATGTTTTGACTGTAGCCCCGAATGTAAATCAACAACAGCAACGAAAATATTTTCCATGACATGCAATAATCTTCATGATGCAGCAGGTCTTCAAAGAGCGGAGGCTACTCGCAATAATATTGCTGCATTTTGTTTACCGTTACTCAGCCCGCCTGCGTTTAGAATGAGCACGAGAGAAGAGAGAGAGACAGAGAGACCGCATTGCTCACAGCTTCAGGGCTTATCCGCGACTTCTGAATTGTCCCTAGCAAAACTGTAATCAATACATTTAAATATAAATGTTGTCGGTCAGTGTCTAGTCAGTGTATAGCTACACAAACGGTTAACAGTCACCGCAAAGTAGGGAGAGAATATCATGACACACCTAACCGTGACACTTACACCTGTCGCTCTGTTTGTCTCTCTGCTCTAGGATGCTTCATTCCCTCTAAAGCAGATGTGATCTGCACTTTATCAGAGGTGCTGAAGTGAACATTAGTGTGGAATTGTGGTGATATTTCTGTCTGATCAAAAGTGTTTTCAGTTTCGGTTATCTTCCTCTGATGAAGAGCAGTGCGCTCGTCTCATCGAGTAGTCAAATAATAGTCAAAGAATATATAACTGTTTTTAAAAAATGGATCAACGATCAGCCCAGAAAGCAAAGGCCTATACTGGGCTGGCCCATCACATCTCTTACAGCACCCACTCCCTCCACCTCTGCTCAGCTGTTTCTTGTGTTGTGGGCCAAAAAAATTTGCCAAATGCGCGAAAATAACGGATATATAGAAAAGCTAAAAAAATTTATTTAATTTAAAAAAAACTGATTACTGCATTACATTCTTATATTCTGAATTGCCACCTGCTACCTAACTTTTGTACTTCCCTCTTTAGAAAACAATAAAATTGGTACAGAAAATGTCTCCAGAATTCAGGAAATTAAGTGTTTAATGCTCAAAATCTTCTGGGGGAAAACCCCTTGAATATTTTGTCAATAAATAATTCTTAACTGAATTCTATAATTAATTAATTAAATGGTACATAATATAAAAAAAATACATAATAAATGTAGGCTATATATAAAATTTACTGTTGCTTTATAGACATACTTTGGGTAGCCGGCAATGGGGGGTGGGGTGGGTTAAAACATGAAAGATTTCTGTGCTGGGCTAAGCCCCCAATGTTTCAAGAGTCTGGGAACGCCCCTGCCAAAAACCACACAGCAGAGAAGTATTGTTGTGAATTTTTGAGTGAGTCGAGTAAGATCTGAAAAGGGAAATTTGAACAATTATGCAAAGTTAATATAATGTATTTCACACTTCTGCAAATTTAATTTATTTGACCTATTTGCTCAGCTTAGCTGTGTCAAGTTCAGTTAACAAAGATTAACTGGAAGTACATTGCTGCAGTCGAACTGGAAACACCATGTCTTCAAAAGGCCTTGTTTTTGAGCTTGACAACCAATGGGTTTTGAAATGGTCTCATAAATCCAGGGGTTGTGGAACTCTGTCAATGCATGGTTGAAATATAATGTTTTACTGAAAACATGAAAATCACCAAAATTGGAGAATGGATGTTTCCACCTGACAATGATGAAATGTAGAGAAATAACAGTGTAGACCAACCTCACAAGTGCAGTTTGGCTGCAGTGTTTGAAAGTGTTTTTCATTCCCTTTCCTCATCCAGCCAGTGCAGGCAGGTGAATCGGCACACACTCTGTGACATGTTGTTTGTCAAACCGTTCTTGAACCGAATCACTGAGGTAGAGTCATCTGCTGACTTGTCTGTCATGTTTCACCTGTAGGTACGTCAGTGATACAGGTGACAGCTACAGATGCTGATGACCCCACCTATGGAAACAGTGCCAGGCTGGTGTACAGCATACTGCAAGGACAACCGTATTTCTCTGTGGAGCCTCAGACAGGTGAGGCTAAAAACAGAAGCCTAGCAGCCCAGGGTTTACAAACATCTAGACAACAAGCAAATGCAGGATTACAACCCTGATATAGTATTACACAAAGACTAAGGCTAACTAGTGTAATACATGGAATACAGAAAGTACCCCTCAACATCCACACTTTGGTAAGTATATGCTCAGTTAGCCAGATACGCTACACAGGGCTTACACAATCAGAGTTGCAAATTGTAACTTCTTATCTCAATTGTTTGGTGCAACGAAGCACTTTCATTTTGTTTCACTACAGTGTGTATTCACGTTTGTAAAACTTGTCCCTTTGGATTCACCTTCAGTTAGCAGCTGAACCAGGCAATATGGGCAAAATCAATACACTTAATATTATCACAGGTGATACGCTCATCTTGATATTTGCATTATTTATGAATAGCTTTTACAGTTCAAACTTACCTGGTATAGAACAGAAATATTAAGTACAGTAATACCCTACTGCCATTACCACTAAATGTGTCAGTCTGTCAGACACTTGATAGATACTGCTATCTATCAGTATTTGCGAGGACTGCTTGTCGCTAAGACCAAACGGAAACTGTTTTTCCGTCTGCAATATTTTTACCGTCTACCGCTCATAATATAAAAAGCTAAGAACTCACTGCTGCAGGGATCATGTAACAGCACATCCTTTCCAGTGAAATTGGTAAGGAAAAGAAGGCACTGCTGTAAAAAGAGGTCCCCAGAGGACATTCAGCCTGGGTCTCTGCAGAACCCAGGCCTTATATTTGGGTTTGCATTAAAAGAAGAAATTGGATGTTAGGAGAGAGGTTAGGGCAGACGCGAAGCTATGTTGGTTCAGAGAGGGTGAAGAAGAACAGAAGAGAGGGGATAGCAGAGAGAGGGAGAGAGAAATTGGTTTAGAGAGAGAGTCCATGTAAAGAGAGTGGTTAGGGCATAGAGAGGGAGAGAGATTTGGGCAGAGTAAATCTGGCTAATCAAACCAGTGTTGGGTATTTGACTGGCTCAAATCCATAGCTCACATTTCTAATTGGTTTGGAGATTATCAGCTTTTCATGCTGTCACACACACACATATATGCACACACACTTGGCATAATATGACAGTAGAAAGCCTCAACTCCCAGACACTGCAGCTAGTGGAGACAGAAAGAGAGATGGAAAGAGAGCAGCCAGTGATGAATTAAACAGATATAAAAGATTACTAGGGCTTGAAATGGAGAAAAATAAGACTTCACACATGTTTAACTGGAGTTCTTATTCATGTGAACGATGAGTGATGATGTGTTTTCTTGCAAAATGAAATATCTTGGAATAAATGACACCCGCTCTACGTTTTTGCTTAACACGTTTCTGTTTTTTAAATACTATGTAATACTATATTACAAATTACATTTTGGAATTACACAATTTAGATAGATAACAACACAAAAACCCAGGTACATAGTGTATATCATTTGCATACACTACATATACACATACAGAGACATATCTACAGAGACACACACACACACACACACACACACACCAGTGGGTATGTAGTGAACCTGCATGCCTTTTGAACTATCTTGTATCCGTAAGATTTCATCCAGTGATACAGTTTTTAGTTTCAGATACAAAAATATTTACCCAGGATGCAACAGGGCAAAAAATAATTAATCTCAGCTTTAATTCCATGTTAAATCTGTCCATTCAGGTATAATTCGTACGGCCTTGCCAAACATGGACCGTGAAGCACGCCAGGAGTATGATGTCGTCATCCAGGCCAAAGACATGGGTGGTCACATGGGTGGGCTGTCGGGGACCACTGAGGTTAAAATCACCCTCACAGACGTCAACGATAACCCTCCAAAATTCCCACAGAGTGAGTACAAACCTTCTGCATCTATTGCATCTATTCATCTGTAATATCTATTATATGACTGTATGTTACGGTCCTCTGGAGTGACATTTCTTTTAGAGAAGTGTCTGATCTTCAACCAAATAGCAAATATCAGCCACATTACAGTCTGTGTGCACAACCATCCCACAGCTTCTTATCTTTTTTCTGCACTGCACATCTGTGCATTTGGATTATGTCAATCCACATCCATGTGTGTGCATAATTCTGCGTGTACTATATGCATGAGTGTATGCATATAAGCCAGAAAACATGTTGCCAGCTAGCAATATGGAAACCGAGGAAGTCACTGTAGGAGGCACAGACGACAACTTAAGAAATCAATTATTAAAGGTTCTTTACTGGCCTCCTGCAATGACCTCAGGCGTGTGTGTGTTTGCTTAGTATGTGGGATTTACTGAGAAGGAAAAGAGACAGAGTGACATACAAATTTGAATACTTCTTTTTGGTAATAACATTTTAAAAGAAGCCGCACCTTTTCTTTTCCTGAAGGCATTACTCTAAAGTATTCTTTTATTATTGTATAAAACAAATACGATTAATCATCTGTTGATGTCGGTATTACCAACCTTAACGATGCAATCGAGTAATCAAATGCTAGTTTTCTGATTGGACTGTCAGGCTTAAAGAAACAACTAACCAGAGGGAGTATGACTTTTTGTTTTGTTTTCTCTGCTCAGTTGGCCATGTCACCGTTTACTAAAGAATATGGCGTCACAACAACTAAAATCCAGTAAGGAGGTAGCTGATGTTGTTTATTGAACCTATAGATGGTAAATATTCCCAGAAAGCTTATGCTCAACCAAAGATTCAGTTTTTAGGATTCACCTGACAGAAACAAGAATAATCTAAACCTAAGCAGCTATTTACACCACTTTATTTTTTTCACTTCCCAGTCTACCTCAATGTCCAACACCCTCTTTCCCTGTATCTGTGTCCATCTTCTCTTTCACTCTGTCTTAAAGTTTCTTTCAGCCTTTCTGGGGTTTTTATTTTCCTTTTTATTCTTCCACAATCTCCCCTTCCTCCCCTCCTGGAGCTCTGAGCAGAGCGACTCCTGGCAGAGATTCAGCAGAGTGGCTGCAGGAATGGAGAAAAGAAGAGACAAGGGCTCAGGTTTTATCCTGTAGAGAAGCTGAATAGACTGGAAAAAGGGAGAGACGTGAGCAAAAGAAGCAAGAGAGGGAATGTAGAAGACAGAGATGCAGCGAAAGAGAAAGAGACTGTCAAAACCATCACTCCAGTTCTTGTGTTTTCCAAGAAGCTGACTTGTGTTTCAGTGTGTTGTAAAGCAAAGCTAAAAATCTGGTTCTGAAGGTCATGACAAACAGACAATATTTTGAGGGAGTTTTATGGCCAAGAGTACTAAAAATTAAAAGTACTTTTCTACTGCATATTTGTATGTACATTTGGAAGTTTCCATAGTGAGATATCCACATTTAATGTAGTACCAAGTGGTTTTACATTATGATGGATGGCACAAAATTGCAACATACACTCAGTGGCCCCTTCATTAAGTACACATTTAAAATCGAATGCAATCCAAGCTCAGGCATAAATTCCACCTTTAAAAAAGCATCAGATTTGACAAGTGTCCCTGTTGGACCAAAAATTCTAAACAATCCATTTTTTAAATCCAATACATTGACTAAGAGCTAAGATTTAAGACAGCGCTTTATTTAGTAACTAAACATATTCACAAATGACAAAATGTTAAACGACAGCAGTTTTTCAGCACCAAATCATAACCTCTAACCTTAATCCAGTGACTTCGACAGCTGCAAACTAGGTGCTTTATCAACCATCAAACATTTTACTTATAAGACCAAACATCTCCTTCTGCACAAGGTTTAAATGATCAGGACCAGAAAAATGTTTGAGAAGAATGGTCAAATCACAGACATATGTCAAAAGTGTTTGCTCTGTTGCTTTGGTCAATACAATTATGATGGAACGCATATACAAGGACGTGAGAAATATGTTTGTTGTGAGGAGTCAGTAAGGATGGGCTCGCTAACCACAAGCTACCCTTCTGTTCCCATATCCAAAGAGGATATAAAACATTTTTAAGGACAAAAGGTTTTATAACCAAACATTACAAGTCCTGAGTGTTTACTAATTGCCTTCTTGCATAACTTTTGAATATCAGTTGTGCATCACTGGCAGTTTACATCTGTGATACAAGACAACACATCAAATAGCAATATGCTGTGGTAGTGGGTACTCTTGTTTAAAAAAAAAAGTGGAAGGAGTACAAACACCTGCAAGACAAGTCTCCCAGATGGTGTGAATGAGGACAGTGATTACTTATTTAGTAGTTGGGCAGAGTGAGAGAGAGCAGAGTTAGAAAAAAAATGGTAAATGAAATAAGCAAGTCAAGAAAGAAAAACAGAGCCAAAGCAAGAAGTAGGAAATAGACAAAAATAAAACAGATAGAAAAAGAGAAAACACAACAAAAGAGATGAAAACAGACAGAAAAAGATATATGGCACAACGTGACTCCCTCATGTGTTCCTAGCGTTTCAGTTTCCATTCAAGCCGTTATTTTTTTTTTTGCTTTCACTCCAAAGCTTGATGTCTCCATTTCTCTCAGACTTTCTGTCCCTGCAATTCTCTCTCTTTCACCTCATTATCAAGCATCTTCCGTTTGCCACCACAGAAATCCATCGCAGCACAGACAGGGTGAGGACTTAAAAAGATGATAACCATTGGAAAAGTATTTCTGTGTCACTGCAGTCATTTAAAATCCATCTTCAATCTTCACTTTAACTTGAAGCTCCTCCCTTTAGTTTAGGCAGAAATACATAACATTAATAAGTAATATTGTTTAGATAATGCGTTAAAAACTGAGACAACACATAGGGTATAAATGGTCCAAACAAACTAGCAGAAATGACAATAGTAATTGGCATTTCATCCATCCTTCTTTTTTAGGTTAGGTTATTTAGGTTTTAGGTTAAAGAGACTTGAGATGAGAATGTGCAGTCTAAGAATGTGGTATAAACCATAGCAGGTCTGAGTATCCGGCCCTTTCAGCATACAAAAACACTATGTTGAGTACAAAAAATGGCTGCCATCATTTCATAAGGGAGAAAATTATAGCATGCAAAGCTAAACGGTCCCAGAACTGAATCTTGCTTAAATCAAGAATATCGATCCAAATAGTTTTAACTTTCAACAAATCTAAAAATATACGATCAATATAATGACAGTTCGGTACTGTTAACCATAAAGCAAAACTCTGATTTTAAGTCCAATAACTTTCCAGTCAATACCTGTCCACTCAAAATAACTAAATCACTTAAATAAATAAATAAATAAATAAATGCATAAATAGCCGTTTGTTTTGGAAAAACAAAATAAATGCCTCTTGGTGTTTTTCTAGACGCTACTAATGGATGTGCTGAATATGACCCATTCTTTCTAAAGCGGTCTTCCTGCCAAGTTTAAATTACTAATATAATATAAAATGCATCTACAATACCATCTAAATGATAACACATCAAAGTGACCAGTATGACTCGTAGTAAATTACAAAGCAATATAAGGCATTATCGTTGCGATTTCAGTAATCACATTTAAATTACTTTAGAGATTGTGGTCATTACATGAGTTACATTTATGAGGCACTTTATTGGTGTTTATATCTAAACTTTGCGGTTTTATGAGCTTCTCCTTCCAAGATTGGACATCTGTGTGAATACAAACAGTGCAGTCATTTATGTGGGAGTAATGAAAGCAACTCCCTTTCTCATAGAGTAGCTGGTAAAATATTGGTTTTACAAAGTATGAGTGAGTCACCAGTGCTACTGGTGATTTCTATTTGTTTAAGTAGAGATCTCATTGAAAGTCGCATATGCTTCCACTGTGGTCCTTGACCGTAAATGTACATTTCCTGTATGTGCTGTGCTTCATTTTAGCCCTTGGCAGGTATGCCAGGCGGCCTGTGTGTTCTGTCATACAATGTTTAACTTAGCTTCCAGAAGCCATTGAAGTTAAGCTACTTAGGAAAAGCAAGAATAGAATGACAGGAGAAGAGAGGGAGGAAAGGGGCAAAGGGAAGGCAAGGATGAAATGAGCTTTTAGCCAGAACAGGCAGACGGGAGAGAGAGGGGGGAGGTAGACATGAGAGAAATAGGGTTGGAGAGGGGGAGGAGAGGGGGAGGATGAATGGAGAGATTTGAAAGGATGCAGTGGAAAAGTTAGAAGCAAATGTGTGGAGGCAAAGGTGTTACCACCAGAGAGTCAAACAGTATGGAGAGAAGTTTAAAAAGCAGGGACTGAGATGGCGTTGAGGAGTGATTTGGGGAGGATCGAAGGAGATGTGTTGGAAAAGGGTAGAGGGCTGGAGGGTGACAGGAGGGTATTAGGGCTGGATGGAAAAAGTCCTGTGAGTCGCTCTCCTCTTCCGCACATGTTTGCTCGGGAGCCACATGACCAAATGAATTTCATGATTCACTGGATTGCTACACCTGGACAAGCAGGATAAACATGCTAATAATGTACAACCCCTAAAATGATGAGTCCACTCTGTGCTCAATGCCTGAATCATAGAGCGGAAGGAGGCGAGGAAGGAGGGATTGGGGAGGGACAGATGAGGATGGGGAAAAGATGGAGGAGGGAAAAGGGAGAAGGAGATGACGGATTTGGGAGAAGAGTATAGAAATGCGATGATGGACAGAGGAGGATTTTATGATATCATGGGTAAAGATAGAAGACAGATGAGATGATGATGGGGTGAAAAGGTTTGGGGGATAGCCCGAGAGAGCACATGAGAGACGGGAGCGGGAAAAGGATAAAAGGGAGAGTAGACATATGGTCCTACTGCTCGCTACTGCAAGCCAGGTGTCTACTCCCCCAGACACACACACACACCTGACACTATAGGGGATATTAATATCCTTTGGGCCATATGAATATCCTTTGGGCCATATCAGACAGATGGTATACTTCATGTTAATCCCTCTCTGACCTCCAAAACTGACCCTGCCGCAGATAGTAAACATGGTGGCAGCCAGCCAGGAATTCTCTAAAGAGTGTTGAATACAAAAAGCAAGCTGTGACCAGAAGTTGACACTAACATCACCAACCAAAGCCCCCGTCTTTATTTTTCTCAGGTGTATATCCCATGTCTGTATCAGAGGATAAAGTGCCAGGAGAAGAGGTGGGCCGCCTTAAGGCCAAGGACCCCGACCTCGGAGACAACGGACTGGTGAACTACCGCTTAATAGACGGAGATGGAATGAGCATGTTTGAACTGAGCACTGACTCTGAGACCAGAGAGGCTGTTATTAAACTGAAGAAGGTAAGGAATGAAAGAAAGACACTTTTTTTTTTTTAGCAGCAGCAGAAAAATGACAGCACTGGCATTTCACCTTTTAAGTTAATATGACCAACTTGTTAGCAAACAGTTGTTTATTTACACATCCAGCAGCTATAGAACAACATTATCATTCATTTGGAGTCGTGTTTATGTCCGCCTGATGAAAAGTCAAATATTAGCTTTTTTTTAGCTCTGTTTTTGGTCTGTACAAATTCCTAAGGGAAATATTTTGCTCTTTACCCAAATGAATGCTTCACCATGTTCACTTACCTTCGTCTTTTGTCTGCCATTTGGTGCTGAGCATGTAGTGTACAGTGGGTTATGAGAGCTTTTCACTGAAAACAACACAGAGAATGAACCTAAAGAGTAAAGTTGTGGCGGAACAGCTACACAATGAACTGAAACTCACTATGAAGCTCTATAAAGTAGAAGGGAGCTGTTGATCCAGCTGATGATTCTCTGTAGGTTTATCAGTACGAGTGACCTCTTTCACAGTGTGTTCAGTTACCATTCAATACACTGTTACTGTATAAATATTGACTATAGAAGAAATGGATGGATTGGGAAACAAGGGAGTTTGGGAGGACAGGAGAGAAAATGAGTCATTAGTAGGTGGGGATCCAGTTTTACCACATAAAAATCTAAATGCTACAAAGCTCACAGGAAAGGCAAGATTTAACGATGGGAACTAAGCCTCTACAACGACCATGTGATTAGTTATTGATGACCCAAGGGCAAATTTCACAATTTTTGTAGCAGTTTCTGGTAAGAAACAATGGTCAAAAATACTATTAGTTGATAGTGGCTGCTTCAACAGCTAGCTCTTATGAAAATGAGTGCGTCATCAACCATTTTTTCAATTTACCAGCACAGAAATGTACTTGAGATTGCACTTTTCCTCCAGACAAAGCAGTTTAGTGTGTTCCTCAGCCAGCCCACATGAGAGTCCGTGTCCATGTGTGTGTGTTAAAAAAGAAAGAATAGGAGAGTTGACAAAAGAAAGAAAAAATATGGAGCAGTAAAGTCTGTGTATGGAAACAAAGGGGAGACTTTGTCGGGTTCAAGTCCCCTGACGTCCCTCACAGTAGTGTCTGATAGGAACACTGACTTCCAAGCTCATGTGTGTACGTGCAAGTGAAAGTGCATTAACTGTCATGCTTCCCTAGGCCAGAGAGCTCATCTTCTGCACTGTGACTGTAACCCACACGTGCACACAGACACTATGAGTATAGCTCGCAGTGATCCAGGTCAGAACACACAATTACTACTCTCACTCTTTCTCCCTCTCTATGTCTCTCTAATGCACACTCAGTCTTATTCTCTCAAATACATATATTCAGCCTCTCCATCTCAAATACACACAGAGCTGTCAAATACAGTTTTTCTCCCTCTCTCACACACAGTTTTACTGTATATGTAGCTGCAGGTCAGGATAATGAGCTGAATTCACCAGTGAGCTGTGGTAGCCAGCTTTTCCGTGCTGGGGCGTCCGACCTCTGAGTCTCTCAGTTAAAGAATAATAGCATTGAAAGTTAGGATGAAATGTACACCAAAACCTATATCACTATTTTTTCTTCTCTTTTGGATATTTATATTAGAAATTAAAAGAAGACTTTTCAACCCACAATCACACAAAGATTCTCGATTCTCGGAGATTTTTTCCTCTTCCCAATCCATACCCTTATTTGGTAAAAGGTTTGGCATTCATATATGTAATTAAAGTATGTACATAAAAGTATGATGGCATTCGTGGCAAGCTGCGTTTCCTGTCCAGACAGCAATGACATTGCTCAAAAGAGCAGCCAGCCTTAACTCATTGCTCGTTTTTACTGATGCTGTGGGAAAATCTCTGTCTGAATCAATCGATACAAGTCTGTTTCATGCTTTTTCTCACAACTGTCTGCATGAGCGATTCCTTTGGAGCTCAGCGCTATAGCATGGCATTAAGACTGCCAGGGTTAGGGACTCTCTTCCCACTGGTGTCACCTGGACAGAGCAGGGAAATGAGCGAATGATAATAATGACTCATGTTCCCTCTCCTCTCTCAACAGCCATAATGTGTGTGATCTGGAGGAGGGCAGTTAACCCACAGATCAGGCATTAGCCAGCAATAGAAAACGATGTGGTTGTCCTGGGCAGTGCTCAGGTGGGAATATGTAAATTTGACCAGATATGAAGAACTGAAATACAGTCCCTACTAGATAAAACAGTCAAAAGTGTCATCCCTCAAAATAGTTCAGCTCCACTTTCTGGAAAGCAGTGACAGTAAGATAACAGTTGAACGATAAAATATCCATCAATCTAATCAAATACATGGATCTTTTATTATTCACTTTATTATTCACTTTAATTAGTTTGAAGTCATGTCAATAAAAACATTTATATAGTTATCACCATCTGAACCATTTCAAAACATGTAATCATGAGTTAAATTCTTATGATTTGCCAATATGCTACAACAGCACAACTAATGAACATACTCAACCAACTATTCAGTACTAGTTATATTAATTTGACATTTATTGTAAAGGCAACCTGGTCACTTACAATTTTAACGTGAAATTAATTATTATGTTTCATTACAGTGTGAGGTCAGGAGGAAATTATAGTTTTATGATGATTTGAAGACAAAGAATGTGTGCCTCCGTGTAAGACCACTGACTGATGCCAGTAGCTATTACACAATAAACCATCTTAATGGATCCCTGTGTTTCTTGGGATAATAATTTAATAGCCTGATGCTGATTGAAGTGTGCGTGTGTGGAGACAATGAGAGACACCATACAAACCCACTTGAGCTCCTCTCAATCTGATTATGGCATCTTGACTCAGATGTATGTGCAAGTGTGTGTGTGTGTGTGTGTGTGTGTGTGTGATTATTGTGCCGTGATGCCTCTCGGGGGAAATCAACACCTTTTCCACCCTGTGGGCGGTGCCACAAAAAAATTAAAAGGCCAAACAATCACACAGCGCGCACACACACGATAACACATGTACAGACTCACACCTAAACACACTTTCAAATCATCATCGGGAGTAGCCTTCACTAATCTCTATTCTCTCACTCTCCTACTCGTAAACACACACACACACACACAGGGATGAGCTTTAATCAGCTATTCTCTTTCAACTGTGTCCTGACGAATGCAGTCTACAGAATATTAAGGAGCTGTGTGTATGTGTGTATGTGTGTATGTGTGTATGTGTGTGAGAAAGAGAGGGAGGAGGGAGGTATTATTGTGAATATTATTATCTCACACTGATTACACAAAGAGGGAGAGAATGAAGAGAAAGACGATCTATAGACTGGGAGATGGAGGGAGAGAAAGAGGCCAAATGAGACACAGACAGAGGGAGGGTGACAAAAAAGGGGGAAATGAAACAACTGGGTCAATTATATCCTATTAGTATCGTACCTGTCATCAACCAGTTAAACACCTACACCGACACCACAGAGTCAGAATGAGTGTGGGACAATCCCTTGAGAGGAAACGTCCCTCCAGCATTGAGTCAATTGGCAGCTGCACCACATGAAAACAGTTGCTGGATTAAAGAGCTATTGCAAGCTGTTTTCAGAGGCGTTTCGGGCAGATGATGGAGACTTCACGTTCTATCACTGACAACAAAAGGAAACAATACTACTACGATTATTCTTGCCATCCCCTTGGTCTTAACCTCTTGTCTGCTATAATCTTGATTTGGTTCCTTTTATCAATAATAATAACAATGATAATATAGTAAAAGACATTCTCATCATGCAAAATCTTGTCAATTGGCAGCTTCAATCCATAATATTTGGTATGGGTATTCTTGGTTACCATCCTAGTCATTGGTAACCCCTGGAAAAAATTTTGAGTCAAACTAATAAATCTATAGCAACTTCACAGATGCTCCCACTGGGATTTCATTAAGTGATGCAAGCGTGAAGATGAAAAGATCAAGCTCGCTCTTGGGACTTTGCCAGTTCAACATCCCCACATGTGATTAGGGCTACGACATAGCTGAGTATGAGTGCAAGTCACAGCCAAGTGCTGTTGGCAATGCACAAGTCCTCAGAATCATAGCAGAGAGCATCCCTCGAGTATTATAGCTTTTATACAATGACTGCCAACATACTGGTTGACATAAACGTTTTCCCCGTAGTAGGATTTTACTCCATGCATAAGAATACAAGATTTGTTAGATGCTCAGCACCAAGCAGACTCTCTGGCTGAGGGTCATCGCTTTGTAACTGCTGCGCCATTTTTTTATGACTAAATGAAAATGTGATGTGAGGACAATGTGTGATTTTTTTTTGTTGTTTGGACATTGAATGGCATACCTCAAAGCGCACAATCAAGTGAATTCAATAGCAAGGCCATTACAAGTCAGTGGGTTTTCTCCCAATATAGAGTAAGTGAATTGAAGCTCAGCTCAATAGGATTTGATTGAATCTCATGGTTTTACACTGGCCTACCTGTGATATTGAAACCCCATGGCAGGGATTTTAAATCATGATGTATTCCTAATTTACTTGTCTCAATTGTAAAGGTCTAATAAATAAAACCTATATAGGAGAAAACTGTAACTGTCAGCAGACAGTAGTTCCCGTGGCCTGGAACTTCAAATCTCCCACCTTGTGACCCAAAACACTTTCTATTCCCTTTTATTGTTTGGTGTCCCCAACCCCCAAACCTAATCCTGGCTCATTAAAAACAGACTACTATTGTTTTCATCTGATGATGAAAACAGCCCAACAGAAACTACCACATGATTCATTGTGGTCCCAAAATACACATATAATATCATGTAATATCATGCAACACAAACTGTCTTGAGGTAAAAGTCAGCATTTGGGTTATGCATGGATTTGTTGGTATGTAATAGTAGAGGTAATAGCTGGCCTGCTACTGTCAATACTAGTGAAAATATGTGTGCTTTCATTCATGTAGCAACAGCTCCCCCTACCACAAGACAAGGATACAGCACTGGTCACCCACTGCATTTCACGAAGCCAGTGTCTGCAGTGGACACACAGTGTATTTTCTTTGCCATTCACATATCATTACACTAAAACAAAAACACCTGAGAAAACCTGATTGAGTGACCTGTCTGCTCTCTCTGTATTCTCTCAGCCAGTGGACTTTGAAACAAAAAGATCATACACCTTGAAGGTGGAGGGATCCAACCCTCACGTGGACCCTCAATATCTGGCTTGGGGGCCTTATAAGGACGAAGCCACAATAAAGGTAAATAAAATATATATTTATAAAACTACGTGTGTCTATGTGAGTGTGCGCTTAGTTAGCCTGTGTGTGTTTATGTGTATGTGAACAGAATTGTTTAGGTGCTATGAGTTTTATTGTGTCTATGAGTATGTGTGTTTCTGATGGCAAGAGCTTGTATTTGTTGTGTTTCTATGTGTGTGACTAGATCAATATCACAGAGGCCTTTTAACAATGATGTGCGTTTGTGTGTCTGTAGATATCAGTAGAGGATGCAGATGAGCCTCCTGTGTTTGTAGCTCCCAGTTACACTTTTGAGGTAGAAGAGAATGCGCCTGAAGGCACCCTGGTGGGACGAGTCCATGCCAAGGACACTGATGTTGCCAACAATCCTGTCAGGTAACAAAGACACATACACACTTACCAAGTCAGGCTTGTAGCAGTGGAAGAATTAAAATTTTCACACCAGTGTAAATTCTCATGGGACACTGCCAAAAAAAAAACTTTTTAATAGTGTTACACTGAACAAACAATAACACTCAGAGAAGTTTGGCTTTACAATCATATTTTTATACAGAAAACAGATTACATATAGAGACGTTTTCAACAGAATAGGGAAGCAAAATAGGATTACAAAAGCATAGCCAGCCGCATTTTATAAAAATGAACTGGAAAAAAACAATAGCTGGATACTTTAGTGTAGTTTAACTCTCGATTCTAGACTTTTGGTATAAAACATAAATGCATGGCTCACATATTTGTATTTCACATATATAGTGACTACATTTCCTATGCAAACACCTGTAGGATAAACTACTGGCAAGCTAGCAAAGTTAAATTTCTTTTTGTAGCCAAATTATCTCTACAGTTATTGAACTGAAAGCTCAACGTGTCCCTCTTTGAGAGTGCGAGGATTGCTCTATCTTGCTCCATTTGTTTTTATGACTATCACACAGAAAACGAGGGTGTCTAAGCCTATAACTGTGTTGTAATGCAAGTTTTAGTATGATTTATAACAAATGAATTCTCTATAAATCTCTCAATGTGTAATAGCACTATTATGTATTTGTGTGCTCCGTGTAGGTACATGATCCCTCGCTACACAGACGTAGAGCAGTTCTTCAGCGTAAACTCAGAAGATGGCATGATTACCACAACAAGACCACTGGACAGAGAAACACAGGCCTGGCATAATATATCGGTGTCAGCCACAGAGATAGGTATGCATAAAGAGAACTGGGACTGAATCTGATGTGTGTGGGTTTCTACATTAGTCTCTTCGTCTTTCAAACATAGGCTACAAACAAGCACACGCACTTATCGCCATCATGATATGAGCTAAAAAAGTATTTCTGTTACTGTTTTGTCTCCACACCAATTACGTTTGAATGTGAAGTGACACAATGGCTATGAGACTGTCAGAGATAATTTAATGATATTTTCAGCCACTTCAGAAGAACAGTTAGTCAAAGAGCTACAGTATTTGATCTTGGCTGTTGTGTGATTTGTGCTACTTAAATGATTAACAGCATATACTGAAATAGGATGGAGAGACAAAGTCAAAGACGAACAAACACATGGAAAAATCCCAGACAGCCACCAGGCTGTACATTTACTGGCATCCAGAGCCCAAGCTGTCATTCTGCAGTGCTGGATACTCTCCATGACATCTTATGTACAACATTTATGTGGATCTAAGCTGCTGCCTTTATTTTCCCCCCTCTGGGTGGGACTAAAGTTAGCATTTTTGCTGTGAATGTCAATGAAGAAATGCCTAAACCTTCGTAAACTAATTATGTATTCAGCTTCAGTCAGGAGGGATTGGTTTTATGCAGATGTGGTGGTATTATTTTTGTTGAGTTTAACCATGCTGTTACCCCAGTTAGCGTTCAGTGTTTGGTGTCAAAGGCCAGTGCATGTAACTGTTGCATTCATGTGCAGTTTGTCCACATGGCATCTTGGGGGGGGGTGGTGGTGGGGGGTGGTGGTGGGGGGGTTATGTAACATTTTGGCCAGAAACAAACATGGATCTGCTGTGTAATGTTGGCTACAGCTAGATTTGCAAGTTATTAGATATATGGCTATTTATAATGGCCAAATCACAGTGAAAACCATGATTAAAATTATTTTCACTGTTAGTTTTGTTACAAGAAAAACACAAAGTAAACAAATCTGACAATATGAAAAAAAGAACTGTACAAACAACTGCGCCCCACTAAGATTTTGGCTGTTAATAGATTTCAACTGTTCGCTTTAATTAACTGAGTATGTGAAATCGTTACAGTACAGATGGTTGGTAGGTAGATGCTCAGTGACACAAAAACTGTTTTCTAAGTGAAGGAGAAGTGAAAAACTAAAGTTAAAACAGTGAGGACCCACTAAAACGTTTATCCATCCATCTCCACCACAAACACTCTTGCTAACTACCCAGAGAAAAGGGGAGAAAAGAGGGGATTGCCAGTTGACCCACAAACCCTCCAGCCAGTTAGCCACAGAGGCCCCACCCTGGTATTCTGTGGTTGGGGCTCAAACTAGCAGAGCGCCGCGTGGTTTCCCTGTGGCGTGCTAGACGCCAGACGGCCAGATGGAAACAGGCTCGCCGCCCACAAAGCTAGGACCATTGCAGGCTACGCTTACCGCTAACAGACCTTGGGAAGCTAAATAAATGCCTAGTAATGACAGGGTAGTGGAAAAATCATACCGACTAGAATTGCAAATATGCAAGGCAGTTCAGCAGAAATGGGTGGTTGTTTTTTCTTTTTTTAAAAGATAAATGGATATGGACACTGTTCTCTCTCAGTCTGTCTTAGTTGATATTCTGGATGAATCAGGGGTCTATTTTGGCCATTTAGACATCATTCCGTCTGCCACACAGCAATTCTTCTTCATTTTAATCTCCAGCAGGCATAACTTGACATTTGCCACTTTTGCATATCAAAACGGTTTTGGTAAAAAGCGTGGGAGCAGGCTAACTGAGTGGCATACTGTTTAACTGGATATTTTGATGTCTCACAAACTCGTGTCAGTAATTTTTGCAAATCAAAATAACAAATAGCTCAGCATAGCAGCTGACTGATTGACAGGCAATCTTGCTGGAAAATATTCATAGTTAGCTTTGTCTTCAACCAAAGCAAAACACGGATTAGAATGCAGACAGACAAACAATCAAACACAAATGACATTCTGTCTTTTATGACTTTGACAGTGCTTTGAATTTTTGTACGCAGCAGAATGCTGATGATTTTGCCCTATACTATGTCTATGTGTAGGAGGCCACCACCAAGACACCAAAGTGCGTGTTAACATCAAAGTGAAAGATGTAAATGACAACTCCCCAGAGTTCGCTACCAACAACGAAGTCCTGATGTGTGAAACTGTCGCACCAGGGAAGGTACGACTGTGTGTGTCTGAGTGTGTGTTGGAGTCTGTGTATGTGCGTGCATGCCTCAGTATGGAACTGAATGCATGTGTTTTGAGGGATTATGGTAATCAAATATAAAATTCGCCAAATTCACTTGAGCTTGATGTGTTTATTTCTGATTTGTGTTTCTGTGTTTTAGGTTATTGAAACAGTAAGTGCAGTGGACAAAGATGAGATGGCTCACAGACAACACTTCACATTCAGCCTCGCTCCGGAAGTCGCCCACAACCACAACTTCTCCCTCAAAGACAACAGAGGTAGATGACCTTTACAAAGTTATTTTCCTTATTTCTCCCCTCCTCCTTCGTTTCTTTTCATTCATTCCTTTCTTTCTGTTTCTAACCCTTTCTAGCAGCCATCTTACGGCTTCTTCATCTGTGGTCTTTTTCTCTTTCTTTCTCTCTCTCTCCCCCCTTTCACTCACATTAGATCAAAGCATAACCAGATGGAGGCTTACACTACCTTGTAGAAAGCAGCAGGTGCTCTGAATCACACTCTCTCTCACACACAAATGCACACATGTCCTGCGGGCTGTATTAATTGCAGTGGGGTCTCTGTCCGTCTGTACATATATCTTGGGGAGCCAACTGATTGAATTAAGTTTTGGGAGTGCTGTGAGAGAGACTAAAAGAACGAAAATGAGCGAGAGAGCAAGAGAAAAAGGGAGAGAGGCGAGAGGAGAACAATACAGAAAGAAGTGGCTGCAGCAGACTGAAGAGGAGAAGTGGAAATATGAATTGTGTTGAGCGGATTTTCATAAAATCAGCAGGGACCAAGGTTTTGGATTTGAGAGACCGACAACAAAATCAGGTAGTTTATCTTTTACAATTTAGACTGACCGATGGAAGGGAAGTCACTCATTCCACTTGTCCAGATATTTTCAGATGCCTCAGATCCACACACACACACACACACACACACACACACACACACACACACACACACACACACAGCTGCCAGGGAGTATTGGTGTTGGCAGGAGGCTGAAAGCAACAGATGACAGTGACATCAGCAACAGAGAGGGCTGGGGGTTACCTTCACTCTGTTTTATGGTGAAAAGTTTTAGTGAGCTCTTCTGTTTGTGTTTGTTTTTACTTACAAGAGACTGTGTTGCACCATTCTTTCTTTTCCTTTTACCCATGCAATATTATTTTGCATTTATTAAGCACTTTACATTGTAATCTTTAATTGTGCTCTATAAGTAAAGCTGCTATTTAGTTTACTGTGCAGTAAACCTTACAGAGAGTGAGGCTAAGAGTGTGTCATGGATTGGGGTCATTTGAGGGAGGTACAAATTGGAGCTGAAGGTTAAGAAATGCTTGCAGCGTGTGGGGGGCCCTCACAAGTATAGTAATACTGGTGTGTTTGTAATACTAAAAAGTTAGTCCAAGACATCATCAGAAACAATTCTGAACTACTTTGTTACATTTCCAACGACCGAGTTCAGTGCAGTACAATAGTTTTTCTCTGTTTACTTATATTGCTCTGTAATGTATTTTTAATATAAATGTAAAATACTGTTTGTTTGGTGATGACACTTCTGAAATGCATTTCGTGTACCTTGTCTCTTCCTTTGCCGGCAATATGTGTTTTTTTTTGTTTTGTTTGAATTGTTTGGATAGGGTGGAAAAGAGGTAGACAGAAGCAGAAGCAGAGCTAACTAGGCCTCGTCATAACAGCAGTGGCATTTGATTACATTTCCTCCTAAACTGATGATTGGACCCACTATTTAACAGAAATTTAATATCAGCAAAGTTACACTTCGCTGGCTCTTGTGTGTGAGCAATGTGTGCGGCTCTGTATGTGGGTGGATGACATCGGGTATGTGTGTACAATGACAAAGCAGGCAAGTGTGTATATGAGTTACTGAGAGACCAAACAAAGAAATACATCACTATATGTGGTTTTGCACGTATACTGAATGCCTGTATGTGTGTATGATGAAGTCCAAGCTATGATAACAGTCTAAACACAGAGTTTTATTAGAAAAGTCACGAGCAATATATGTACTTGCTGTATGTTATACTCTCCTGTTCTCTCTCTATTATTTATATTTCTCTCTCTCTCTCGCTCTCTCTCTCTGCAGACAGCACAGCAAGTATCTATGTGCTCCGTAAAGGATTCAGCCGTCTGACCCAGGACGTCTATTACCTTCCCATCGAGATAAATGACAACGGGTTCCCTGCTATGAGCAGCACCAACACCCTGACCATCAGAGTCTGTTCCTGTGACAGCAGAGACACCATCCTGTCCTGTAACGTGGAGCCCTACGTCCTACCTGCTGGTCTCAGTACCGGGGCATTAATAGCTATATTGGCCTGCATTGTGATTCTGCTGGGTAAGGAGCTAAAAGCTTTGCTTGTTTTGATCCATTTAGTTTGGGAACATGATAAAGGATTACTGATTTACATTATTTTTTTGTTAGGACTTGGAATTTAAGATTATCTAGCAGTGTGTTCACAGAAACCAAGTCTGTCAATCTGCTGTCCTAATAAAAATCAAACACTGATATTTAGAGGTGAAATGTGAGGAATGGAGCTGGGCTATCCACCTCCATTAATGTCCTCATTGGAACTGTACTGAACTGTTAAGATTAGTGGTCCTGGGGCACTTGTGTATCCTCAACTTGTGTTTTCTTTCTCATCCCCCAAAACACATTTCAGTACTTGCACATTGTTTCCTTACAGTTGGAGTTTATGCTGCATTTTATCCATACACAATACAACAGAGAACTTTCAGGAAGATTAACATGTTGATAACCACCTGAAATTAAAATGGCATGTGTATAGCACAATACAATAATGATATTAATTAAACTGTCCGAGGTCTAATTACACTATCTTCCACAGTGCATACTAATTATCTAATGCTCGACTTTCTTCACAGAGACTGTGTGGGGATTGTTATGCAATCTCTAAATACAGAACAAGTTTTGAATTGTGCGTGTTTGTGTGTTTCTCCTTGGCAGCAATAGTGGTGTTGTTTGTTGCACTGAGGCGTCAGAAGAAGGAGCCACTGATCGTGTTTGAAGAGGAGGACATCAGGGAGAATATTATCACTTATGATGACGAGGGAGGTGGAGAGGAGGACACGGAGGCTTTCGACATCGCTACACTGCAGGTATGAAATTATTCTGTTTCTCAAGGAGACAATAGGTACAGAAAATGTAGAAATGTACTCAACTTCACTACAGGCATGTGTTAGCTTCTGCTTACTGTAAAATGCTTATATACAATCAATGTAAAAACAAAACTATTTAAATTCTGTTCATAGCTGTATTTTTCTCGATATCTAAACATGATGCAACCTTAAATGTTACTTTCTAATTGTTCAGAACCCGGATGGTGCCAACGGTTTCCTGCCAAGAAAGGACATCAAACCGGAGCTTCAATATCCCATCCGGCCCGGTGCTGGCCATACTGCAGCCAACAGCGTTGATGTCGATGACTTCATTAAGACTCGAATTGCAGAGGCTGACAGTGACCCGACTGCACCTCCATACGACTCCATTCAGATCTACGGATACGAAGGCAGAGGATCATTGGCTGGGTCATTGAGTTCCCTCGAGTCTGTCACAACAGAGTCTGACTTGGATTATGACTATCTGCAGAGTTGGGGGCCGAGGTTTAAGAAGCTGGCAGATTTGTACGGGACCAAAGACTGCTCCATTAATGATGGGGATGATGGTGAAGACTCTTAACAGTGGTCTTACTGAGTGGACGCCCCCGACTTCTGATTTATTGATTCCATGAGGATTTGTTAACTGAGGTTTAACACTTCCCAGTACCCGATTGTTACCAACTACAACCTGATCAGTTCATGCCAATTTGTCAACGGATGTTAACAGCTCTCCCTCCCATGGCGCCTCCTTGGTCCTCCAAGATGATTTGTTAATGAACACATAATGAACGCTTGGACTCAAACAGCTCCCAGCTTTTTTCCAATTCTCTCCTTTCCCACATATGTCTTTTTCCCTCTCTCTTTCTACAGACTTGAGCATCGGAGGGCTGGAAGATTTGTTATGTCACCAGTTTGTCGGTTTGAGAGTAAACTGTTGGGGAAAAAATGTTGCTGTATGATCAAAATGACTTGCTTATAGCCAACTGTTTAGTTTATTAGAGGTTATCTATACTTTTGTGGACTGGATTCACGTACTTCCTCAAAAGGTTCCTGAGAGATTTTATTCCCATAACAGGTTCCACAGTCGGCTTTATTTTCCTTAGCTCCACTCTTTGTGGTGTATATAAAAGGACACGCAGAAAGAGAGTAAGAGAGAGATACAAACAAATTGAAAGAAAAAGTTACTATGGGATCCAGCAACCGCCTGATGTTATGAAAGAGAAATAAAAGGTAATGAAGATTCAAAGTTGTATTTGTTTGTGCAGAATTCAGCAGGTACTGTGGTTTAGATAGCGTTACAGACTCTGGGTTGTTGATACTTTGAAGACGCTCAAGGCATCTTCACAGTATGGTGGCCTTATAATAAATATTCAACAACTCCAGGGGTAAACACAACAAGAGTAATGATGGAGACCGCTACCTTCAGCAGCTACACGCAGACAGATGAACACACAAGGACTGAGTATCTGTGAAAATACTACACAAATACTGTTTTTATTTTACTCCCAAAAAGAAAGAGACAGAACCTGGATTCAATTTAAAGACTGTGGATGATTTTTTGTTTTCATTCTTCACGGCAGAGAAGACGTGAAAAGAAAAGCTGCCCTTCTCCACGCCCCTGTGTCACCATTCCTCCCATCAACAATCACTCCCCATACCGAGTCCACCAATGAATGATCGCTTCATCATTCAGAGTCCTCCAATGATGATCAATCACAATGAGTAAAAACCTGTGAGCTCTAAAAATCGCCTTAAACTTAATGGACACTCTTGCAACGCAGTGCATTCTCTTTTTTTCTCCTTTTGTTTCTTTTTGTAACTTGAAAAGTATACTCAGAAAGCAAACTCTTCTCCATGTTAGGTATGTACAGAGCAATGTGCAGACATGTGATATAACACTTTGAGGATCCAACTTGCGCCTCGTGCACTCTTAAAAAGGGGATGTGCCGTTTCTGCCAGTGCAGTAAATGTAGACCGGGAAAATGTGCATTGTGTTTTTTCCCCAACACCACCTATGTTGGCAGCAACATCTGTTGTATCAACATGTGTTGCTATTTAAACATAAGATGTGCACATTGGAAAATAACACAAAGGTGTGTTTACTGAGCCACATATACGGAGAGGCTGAAACCAGAACATCCTTTTTAAGTGTGTAGATTTGTGTTCAATCTCTTTTTAATGTTATTATATTATTATGATTATTATTGCTGTTTTTTTATTATAATTATTATTATTGTTATTATCATTATTATGACAATAATTGTTTTCTCTTTGGCTGCAGCCACACAGGAACAAATTCATGTTTAACTCTTTGCAGCTCGGATTTGATGTTCTTTTGGTTGTCTAAACATGGAGAGACTACATACTATTCGATTTTCATTTTTGGACAGCTATAAGAAATGCACTGCCAAAAGTTAAATGTCAGCTTTGGTTCATGCCTGTGTGAAAACACCCTCTCTAATTTCCTTTGTTTTTGTTTCATTTTCTGTTTTCATTATTTGGCGTTTCTTCGTTCTTTCTCCCTGTTCAAGAGGAAAACTAGCAATCTGTGTTTGTTGCAGTGAGAGAACGCCTCGTTTTTATTCTCTGTCAAGTTTTATGGTACCAATTTGTACAATTTTAAAAGTTCTTATTTTAGTATACATGCAGAATATTCCAGTATTACAACAAAACATGTTAAGAAGATAAGATTAAAAAAAATGTTACAGCATCACACTTATATTTTCTGAACATTGTAATGTTGCTTTACTATGTGCTTCAATCTCCGAAGCGAAAAAAAAAAACTTTGAAATAAATGCTCTTTTTATAAAATTGTACTGGACTGTGTGTGGAAGTAAACTTTGTGTTAGCTTCACATACTTGACTGCTTATACTGAAAGGATGCCCAGTAGCAGTGGTGGTGGTCTTCCTGGGACCCATGCATGGCAGATATTACAGTCCACAGAAAAAAAAAACAGCCCCTGAATGCCAGCGCAATAAAATGTAAATAGGCAAATGCAGCCTGTCCCCGTAACCATTTCAACTGACTTTACTTCAGTGATTTTACATACGGGAACGGTTGTTTGGGGTAAATGAAAGGAAATCAAAGAAAACCGTTCAGACCGCCTCCAGCTTTGCATGTAAAAACATCAACTTTTGCTTAAAGAAAGTTTTTCCTTGCCCGTGTCATCAACTGCTTGCCCATGGTGGGATTTGTCTCTGTAAATAATATTACAAAGAGTACAGTCTAGACATGCTCTATATGAAGAGTACCATCAGATAACGTATGTTATGAATTGGCACTATATAAATAAAATTGAGGGGTAAAAATGACAAAACTAATGCATGTAAGGGCACATTCCTGAAAGGAAATCTGCACTTTTTTGGCGTCTGACAACATTTACACTGGACTTCCTGGATTGGATTTCATTTCTCACTGGTACCTGAAACAACAGGCTTCCACCAACATAGCCATTTGTGTTGATATAAAGGCAGTCTGCAGTCATGTTAGCAACTCTGTGAGGCTTTACTTAGGCACGGTATAGATTTGAGCTAACAATGACAACGCTAACATGCTGATGCTTAGCACGTATAATATTTACCATGTTCAACATCTCAGCTTAGCAGCCAATTAGCACTAAACACAATGTGGCACTGAGGTTGAATTGAGGGACACTGGTTTACATGCATCTTGGAGAAATTAAAAGTTTGACCTGTGTGGCTAAAAATTAATTTTTAGAGACAATAGATTATTTACAACTATTTTCTAGCTTAGCATTCAGAAGGACACACACACCTTTCTAATTTTTTTTCCTATGTGTGTTTTCTGTAATGACTAATACTGCAGATAAATAATTATTAATAATAATTAATGATTATTAATCAGCTCCAGAAACACACCTTTGGAAAGACATTACAGTTTTTATTCACCTCCATCATAAAGAAATGTCATGTGCAAATAAACAAAGTATGTTTGTCACTCTCACACACACAGGTTTCATTCCCTCACTCCTAGGGGAGCAACACTGAGAAAGGTCAGGCTGCACTTTGGATGAACAACAAAAGAGGTGATATGAAAAGAGGGAGATGGTGAATGACACAAAGGAAGAGGTGAAAGGAAAGACGGGAAATAGATCAGCAGGAGGACGTGAGCAGGGAGTGAGAGGGGGGAAAGGAATGAGAGGACTGGTGCAGCAAAATTACGCCTTAGGCCATGCTGCACTTATATTACGGACATTTTATTATTCCAATGTGGGGAGGACATGAGAATGCAACACTAATATTTCTACTTAGCTCACCTCGCATGTATCTTTATGATCTTTCTTGAATTATATTGTTTTGTTGAATTAAAGGATTCCACAATGAATTCCACAGGGCAGTAACTAATCATTTTCATAAATTAATGTGCTGATTATTTTCTCCTTTAATACTCGTTAAGTCTATAAAATGTGTATAAAATGTCCAATAGTAATAGTATAACAACAGTAAATAAGAATAGTAAATCCTCGACCCAATTCCCCAAAGCCTAAGTTTACTTACACACACATATAATACTTCAAATAGTTTAAATATTACATTGGAGAACCTAGAACCAGAGAATTTGTGGAATTCTTGCTAAAACATCAACTAATTGGTTAATTGACTAATTGTTTAAGCTCTACAATGAATACTGGGTATGGTAGGAGTGGTTTAAAACAGGTAACAGGTAAATGTCATTCCCTAGTCTATAATATTTTTAATAATTGTTGCTTCTGGGTTGAACAACTACATTGAAATGATCCTTAAGTAACTGAGGCAGAACAGAGAAGGAGGAGGAAGGAGAGTTTAAAGCTGTATCAAGATTGTGATGCCAAATGAAGGTTTGTTGTATCAGTCCAAATCACAAATTGGGGCTGTGACACAGAGGAATGTCCAATACCTGCTAACTGACATCCCATGAAACTGCCATACTTAACCAAATAAAACGTTCATGTGTTGCATTTTTCTAAACAGAAGCACAGTAAAATGTTTAAGACTCAATAGCATATTTAATGTCTTAATCAGTCAAACTGCTTTTCTCTGCTGCAGTGTGTGATTTACCCTAAGATGGGTGTCTTTCTGCATAAAAAGCGTGCCTCCTGCTATCCGTGGTCCCACTGGGGAAGAGGGAGGTGGCGAGTGGGGCGCTGAACTTCTGCACCTGACTGAACCTTTATGGCTACGTCCCACTGGGAGAGAGAGAGAAGAGACAGAGAGAAATCGAAAGAGAATCACTCAAAAAAAGGAGGACAAATAAACTATTATGTGTGCCAGCTAGAGGTGAGAGAGGACTGAGGAGACAGAGAGAAGAGCACGTGTAAAGGATTGAGTTTTAGAAGGGGGGAGGATTGCAAAGCAGAGGATAGAGAGAGGAGGAAGCGGGGGAGAGGTGAACTCTTGCACCTGTTTATGCAAACTTAGCATCTCCACCTGAGAGGAAGACAGATGCAAAGGCAAAGACAATCATTGCTTGAAAGAAAAAAATGTTTTCATAGCTAATGGGCCAAATGTGATCTTATTAAAGCATATCATCAGATATTTGTTCATTTTAAACAGCAATCAGAAATACGGATGGGCATTTCAACTCAAAAAAAATACTACTTGATAGTCACTGGGAACTATTTGACTACTTATGTTTTTAATAAACTTGTGAGAATTAATACAAAATTATGAATTTTAATATTCAGAGAATATTAATCCATAAATCTCTCATTTCGGGGCACCGCCGGAGATCCAATTCGCCCAGAGTCCCCGGACCTCTGAGTATGGCTTTAATAATTATACAATCATTCACTAGTGATCAGTTAGTTAATAATCGCTCAATTATCTTAAATCAATCAGCCAGTCTCATATCAAAGGGGTAAATTCTCGTGGTAGGGACTTGGAGACAGACAATACACACGCACAATTCCTGTGATTACAGTGAAGTTTATTAACTAACTAAGGTGAATATAAATGCGGTTACATATACATCAAAAAGATAAACAATGGCTAAACAATGACAATGTGGGGTTCGATTGTGGGGAGAATTTGACTCATACTTTCTGCTAGGGAATTTTCCGGGGGTTCTCCGTGTCTTGAATGAAGAAAAAAACCCTCAAGTGTTGACCTCGGTCTGGCAATGAGGCTGTTCTGTTTGGATGTCCTTGGGTTACTGCTGGCGGGCCCACATGGCTGACCCGGGCGTCGGGGGATCAGTGTAAGTTAGCTAAACGAATAAAGCTTAAAAACAAAATTGTGTAACTTAACGATCTGATAACTTTTAACAAACAAGCACGCCGGGTGAAACTTCTTAGGGCGTTGCCGGGAGACGGTGCAGTCGGAGAGAGCCAGAACAAAAGAGAACAAGTGAGAGCAAGACAGCGTGTCGCTTTTCAGTTTCCTGAGAGACTGTCTTTTCTTTAACTTTTAATATGTCTAATCAAAAATCTATTTGCGCATATTATAATCAAATATCTTCCCACAATCAAACCTTAATTGTCAAACGGGTATACCGTTCTTAGTTTAAGCATTTGATAAAAAGGAAAACAATTGTTAGTTAAACCTTGAGGTTAGCATTTTCTTGGAATCACATCAGATAACAGGAACTTAATTAGCTTTCTGGATATATTGGCTGTTACACGTTCTTAGAGAATATAAGCAAGATACACGAATGTCATCAGATTATTGGACAAGATAAATACAGTGACATTTATACATTAAACGCATTTCGGGTTACATTTATAAACGGTGCGTACATAAAACAGGGCTGGAAACGTGCGTACGCCTCTTCCCACGTAAAGGTTGTGATCAATAAAAAACAAAATTGAAGGAAACTGTGGTTCTGTAAGTAAACCCTGAACCATGCATACGCACATAAAGAGGAGAAAAGAGAAACGGGGCGACTCACATGGCAGAAGGATGAAACAGTTTGAAATGAATAGGCCTACTATTGTGTAAAATAAACCGAAATATTACCTCTGAGTAGTAAAGGCTTACAGCCTTTCTGAATAATCAAACACGTGTTAACACGTGCAAAAAACACACAATTTAAGATCATTTACACAAAAAGAACTAGATTTAGGATAATAAACACAAACGTTCTGTTTCTGCAAAAGTACACCTAAAATATATTGTACAGTTTAATCAGGAATCATGCTAATTAATACTTTATTATTAATTTATTCTCATAAATAAGGTGAACAGGAGGACAAACTACATTTAAATTGATGCCTGTTACATGCCAAGCAGGCCTGTTTTTGTTTTCCTCCTGCTTTCTTCCTTCCCCCACTAGTTTTTCTTCAGGTGCTGAATGGGTGATTGGCTCGCACCTGTACAGCCTGGCCGAGCTGCACATTGGCCAATGGAGGTAGAAGCTGGCCAACCAGGATGAAGCATGGGAAATAAAAAGGAGCACCCCAGAAGAGTTTGCGCTCTCTCACCCATGCAAATAATTGTCTGATCATTTTATTTTGTGGAATAAACTTTAATTTGTCGTGTTTATTGCATCAGCGCTTCCTTTATGTTGCCTCCCTCGTGCATATTTTTTGCCGTACGCCATTTTTGGCTTTTGGCCGCACGTACACTTTTAGTGAGGTTTCTACACACAGTTTTATAAATGAGAGCCCTGGACTACTCTGCTGATAAATGATGGTAGCAAGATATTGTGTGTTCATTAGGGTTGGGTATCGTTTAAAATTTTACAATACCAGTACCAAAACCAGTACCCTTAAAGTGATACCGATACCAATTAAGTGCTTCATTTGATACCTTACATAAAATGTCACCTGTTGAAGCCATAGTAGTTGATTCGTAGCTTATTATTATTATTATTATTATT